GGTGACCCCCCTCCCCCGCGTGGTCTAGTGAGGGTGACCCCCCTCCCCCGCGTGGTCTAGTGAGGATGACCCCCCTCCCCGGTGTGGTCTCCTGAGGGTGACCCCCCTCCCCCGCGTGGTCTAGTGAGGGTGACCCCCCTCCCCGGTGTGGTCTCCCGAGGGTGACCCCCCTCCCCCGCGTGGTCTCCTGAGGGTGACCCCCCTCCCCCGCGTGGTCTAGTGAGGGTGACCCCCCTCCCCGGTGTGGTCTCCCGAGGGTGACCCCCTCCCCCGTGTGGTCTCTGGCAGCTTCTCCTCCCGTTTTCGGGGGGCCCTTTGGAAGCTGTAGCACCCACACTCTGAACCAGTTCTTTGGGTGATGCTGGCATGTGACAAATGCGTTTTGTTCCCCTGTGACCAGAGTCCCAGGTTGTGCACTGCCCAATCCTCAAACCTGCGGCTGAACGCAAGTAGGTCTGTCTTGAGACAAAAAATTTAGAATGGCCGGGCGCTGGTGGCGCGCGCCTGTAATCCTAGCTACCCAGGAGGCTGAGATCTGAGGATCGCGGTTCAAAGCCAGCCCGGGCAGGAGAGACCGTGAGACTCCTATCTCCAATAAACCACCAGAAAACCGGAAGTGGCGCTGTGGCTCAAGTGGTAGAGCGCTCGCCTTGAGCTGAAGAGCTGAGGGACAGCGCCCAGGCCCAGAGTTCAAGCCCCATGACTGACAAAAAAATAAATTTAGAACGGACCTCAGCCTCACAATGAGCTCATAGTGATTCATAAAGGACTTCCTGAGTTCAAGTCCAGGTACCTGAAGAAAAACCAACCAGCAAACACCGTACAAACAATACATCAAATTATAAAACTTAATAACCCCAACCTGAGGTGGGTTGGCCACAACATCCCAAGTAACAGCCAGGTACCTGTGGCTGGTGCCTATAATCCTAGCTACTCAGGAGAGAGAGAGATCTAAGCGGCACAGTACAAAGCCCCAAGAGGAGCTGTGGCTTTAAGTCACAGAACACTAGTCGAGCAAAAAATAAAGTTCAGGGACAGCACCATGGCTCTAAGTTCAAGCCCAAAGACTGGCACCAAAACAATTCCCTCTCCTAATCTGTGTTCCTTGTAGCTCCCAGTCCCTCCAAATTCCTCTTTAATGTGGTATTCAGTCATGAAAATGTGAAACAAACAAAGAGAACTTTTAGTCAAACTCCCCTTCCTCCTCCAGCTTTATTGGAATAGTTTAAAATTACATTTTCTATTTCCTAGGACTCAGTTGCTTTTTTCCATCTGACTTTTAAAAACTGATTACAGCAAATGAAACACAGTTGTCTAAGTGATATAGTATACAAAAATAACATCTTGATTTCTGTGAAAATGCATTTCTCTGCAATTCCTGAATAAATCCAAATTTTGCTAACTCTGAGAAACGATGTTCACTCTGGGTTTTTAGATTTAGTCTTTGAAAATGTGTGTTCTTAACCTTTGCCATCACCATCTGTATATCCAGCATCAGCGCTGTGAAAAGCTGTACTGGCTTAGGCTTTTATTCCAATTTCTCTCCTACAGCCTTTAACTTGTTTGCCTTCTCATTTTGTTTACTCCCACTCAACTGTATGTTCTATGAGGGCCTGATACAGATGTTACTTGATGTTATTTAATAGCTACTGAGGTCAGACAATCCAAGGCCATCATTATGCTAAAATTAAAGTTATTTATGGAAGTTCATAGAAACTTCCAGAATTGGTTTCACCTCTTACATGGGAATATTTAAGAAACCCAGAATGGGCTTACTGGTCTGACGCAATTCTTCCCATTCATCAATCCCTATTCACCAGTGGCACGGAAAGGGGGTTCTTTAACAAAGCATTATACATAACACCTCTACCAAACTAAACATAAACTTTTTTTTGTAGTTAAATGCAGAAAGTCGAGTTTTTTTTCCACCCCTTTCCTCCTTTTACACGGCAAGTAAAGCTCACTGGCCTGGGAGTAGCCTCTACCTGCCAACCTTGGGCCAGTGAAGAGGATTCAGAGAAAATAATACAACCATCAATCAGAAAAAGGAGGGGCGACAAAGGAAAATAATTAGGCTGTAGCCTCAATAGTGCATTCCCGTGCAAGATGCCCTGACTCGCCACAGCGGTAACAGTTGACTTCGCTTGTCTTGCTGCAATTGATGGCTACATGACCAGTTTCACCGCACCTAAAAAAAAGAATTTTCACAATGCTATTCAAGTAAGTAAAACACTGAGTACAGAGCAAAAAGCCATTAACAAATTAATACATTTCTCTTTAAGACTACAATTACTTTTTTGGAGGGGGGTTCAGTCATGGCTTGAACTCTGGATCTGGGCGCTGTCCCTCAGCTCTTCAGCTCAAGGATAGCGCTCTACCACTTGAGCCACAGTGCCACTCCGGCTTTTTCTGCTCATGTGGTGTGGAGAAACTGAACCCAGGGCCTCATGCATGGGAGGCAAGCACCCTACCACTGAGCCACCTTCTCACCCCAAGACTACAAGTACTTTTTGAAACAGGGTCTCACTATGTAGCCCATACTGACTTTAAGCTCAATCTGCCTGTCTTAGTCCAGAAGGTTAGGCTTAAAGACATATGCCATCATACCCAACTAAGACTATGAATTGTTCTACTAATAAACAAGACTGGGTTGAGGCTCATGAGTCATCCTAGCTACTAAGGTAGTAGAGATAAAAAACGATTAGGTTCAAGGTCAGCCCAGTAAAAAATTATGAAAGCACCAGTGGCTTACATTTGTAAATCCTAGCTACTCAAGAGTCAGAGATCTGAGGATTGTGATTCAACGTCAGCACAGGAAACTCCATGGGATTCTATCTCCAATTAACCAACAAAATGCTGGAAGTGGAGCTATGGCTCTAGTGGTTAAGCAATAAAAGTTCAAACACAGCACCTAAGCCCTGAGGTCAATTTCAGAGACCAGCACAGAGACACTGTTAGGTGTGGTGTCAGTCAAAAGCCTATGAATCCAGCTTGTGGAAGGCTATAGATGAGGAGGCTGGCCCAGGCCAAAAACCAGAGACTCTACCTGACTGCCTGCCTAGCAGAAGCAAAGCCCTCAGTTCAAGCCCCAATATCAATCAAAACAAGAGGAGGAGGAATGAATTTAACAGGCACAGTGGCACATGCATGTAATCCCAGCACTGTGGCACTAGGATTCTAAGTTCAAGGCCATCCTGGGTTACATAGCCAGACCTTGTTTTACCACATACACACAGAAGGGAATGGTCCCCTACTAGGTAAGGTGGCTTTCTGCCTATAATCTTGGCTATTCTGGAGGCTGACAATAGGGTGAATGCCGTTTCTAAACAGCCCTGAAAAAAGAGACTATCCAAAAAGTAACCAGTGCTTTGGGAACTGATGGCTCAAGTCTGTAATCCCAACTGGTCAAGAAAATAAAGTCTGAGGATAAAGCTTGAAGCCAGCCTGACCAAAATAAATCCTTGAGACTCTTACCTCCAAATACAGCAAAATAGAAGTATGGCTCAAGTGGCAAAGCACCAGCCTTGAGCAAAAAAGTAAAAAGACACAAGGTTCTGAGTTCAACTGGAAGCAATAGCACAAAAACAAAATTTTAAGAAGTGTAATAAGGGGGTATGCCTACCAAGGAGGCCCTGAGTTCACAGACACACACCATCTCTGCAATCGCAGTTGCTTCCAGCAACTGACACTTACCTGTAGCACTTCACTTTGGTGCAGTCTTTCTGAATGTGTCCAAATTCCCCACAAGAATAGCACTTCTGCTCATCCGCGTGGTCACAGTCACGAGCCAGATGGCCGGGTTTGCCACAGTTGTAGCAACACTGCTCTCGCTCCCTCTTGGGCTCCTTGCAGTCCTTGGCAATGTGGCCACCTCTACCGCAGTTATAGCAGGCTTCAACAATAAGGAAAAGAAGCAGACCAAGACTATAAAACCTTTAACAAAGTGGTATCATGTTCAAACTGTATGATGTGAAACCTCCAAGGTAGAAATCCTTTCCAGGGTTACATGCAGTGGTACATGGTGTGTTCTGGGCCTGGGCGCTGTCCCTCAGCTCTTCAGCTCAAGGCTAGCGCTCTACCACTTGAGCCACAGCACCACTTCTGGTTTTCTGGTAGTTTACTGAAGACAAGAATCTCATGGACTTTCCTGTCCGGGCTGGCTTTTAAACCGTGATCCTCAGATCTGGGCCTCCTGAGTAGCTGGGATAACAAGCATGAGCCAGTGGCACCTAGCAACATTTTCACTTCTAATTGTACAGGAGTAAGAAATATTAAATATTTACCATCCTCCTGAAGATCACAATCCTTGGCAAGGTGACCAGACTCACCACAGCGATAACAGATGTCTGGAAGAGACGAGGAAACAAACTGGAAACCTAGTATGAGCAGAAACAAAAGAATTTGGCTAATTAGATCAGTCATGATACTAATAAATACTGCAGTATTTCAGAAATTTTTATATCGATAAAAATACCTCTATCCGAGGTAAAACCACCTCTGCCACGGCTTCTCATTCCACGACCCCGTCCTCCACCAGTAGGGCACTCCCTGGCCCAGTGGCCAGATCGTCCACACTTGAAGCACTCATTGCTGCTCATGGCTGCAGTTAAGAGCTTTGGAATATTAAAAATGACATTAAACTACTTAAAATTTTCTTAGAAAAACCATATCTCTATCCAGACACTATACATTTTATATACTATATTAAAATTTTTGAAAAATTAAAATATGTCACATTTTATGATCTTCAAACTCATTAAGCTGAAACAAAAATAAGCAAATGTTACATTGCTGAGGTGATGGGATCTACAAAGTTGGAGTCAATAAAAATTTGGTAATAAACACTGATCAAGATGCCCTGCACATATCAATTGGCAAGCCAAATTGAAACTTTTTTTTTTTTGGTCGGGCATGGGACTTGAACTCTGGCCTCAGCTCTTCGGCTCAAGGTGAGCATTCTACCGCTTGAGCCACAGCACCACTTCCGGTTTTCTGGTAGTTAATTGCCTTTCCTGTTGGGGCTGGCTTTGAACAGTGATCCTCAGATCTCCACCTCCTGAGCAGCTAGGACAACAGGCATGAACCAGAGGCGCCTGGCCGAAGCTTCTTTTAGAACTACTTAAAAGAAATAATTCATAGTAGCGCCTCATCCCGGGTCTAGCGTAACTGACATACTGACATGGTTATAAGCCTCATTTTGTCCAACCAGAAAGTCCTTTTTACTGATCACAAAATGTGAATAAACCAAACTAAGGAAGCTAAAAATGAACTGTGTGTAATGTCAATAAAGAAAAATTATCTCTTCTGAAGCATTTGCTTGCAAAGTAAGGTACTGTTTGTTTTTGGTTTTTGGGTCCGGTCTTAGGGCCTAAACTCTGGCCTGGGCGCTGTCCCTCAGCTCTTCAGCTCAAGGCTAGTGCTCTACCACTTGAGCCACAGCGCCACTTCCAGCTTTTTTTTTCCTGCTTATGTGGTGCTGAGGATTCAAACCAAAGGCAAGCACTCTACCACTGAGCCACCTTCCCAGCCCCAGTAAGGTAGTTTTTAAACTATGTTAAAAGACATGTAACTGTAGTGCTTGCCTAGCATGCTGAAACTCTGGGCTTGATTCCTGAAGTATCACAAACAGAAAAGGCCTGGGTTGGCACTATGGCTCAATTGGTAAATGTGCTATCCTTGAGCAAAAGAAGCTTAGGGACAGTGCCCACACCCTGAGTTAAAGCCTCAGGACCAGCAAAAAAAAAAAAAAAAAAAAAAAGGACATGTAACCTATTTCAGCCACACACCAATGGCTTCAAGGACTGTGGTTCAAATCCGACCCAACAGACTCTTACCAATTAACTAGCCCTAAGTAGAAGCATGACTCAACAGCACTGGTACAGAAAGGGTAGGGGGATATGAACACATTAGAAAGTATACCCAAGTACTAACAGTCCATAGTATTAGAGAACTCTTGTATTTTTCTCTTCATCTTTCCAACATTTCCAATCTTTTACATTAAAGTAAAGCTATTTGAAATTTATTTCAAACTAGTCTCCTTGTCATCTCTTAAAAAATAAAACACCCACTAGGCTGGGTGCCGGTCACTCACACCTAGCTACCCAGGAGCCTGAAATGTGAAGATTGCAGTTTAAACCCAGGCCAGGTAAGGAAGTCTCTGATAAACCACCAGAAAACCAGAAGTGGTGCTGTGGCTCAAGTGGTAGAGCGCTAGCCTTGAGCTGAGGGACAGCGTCCAGGCCCCATGACCGGACCCCAAAAAATAAATAAACATCGCAATGACATTATTAAATCTTTTAAAGTCTTTCAGTAGGATTAAGTGTTTTTCCAGGGCTGGGAAGGTGGCTCAGTGGTAGAGCGCTTGCCTTGCATGCTCAAGGCCCTGGGTTCGATCCTCAGCACCACATAAGCAAAAAGAAAAAAGCAGGAAGTGGCGCTGTGGCTCAAGTGGTAGAGCACTAGCCTTGAGC